AAGGTTTCGTATTTTTGTAGACACTAATTTTTTCTATTGTATTTATAGGTAATGTGAAGGTGAAATGCAAAATGTCGTGTTAAGTGCAAGTATGTCGGTAATTAATTGAATTTATTAATGTAATTGGACACGGTTGATTAAACTTCTGCTAAATATCAAAAAAGCACGAACAAATATATTGAAAACTGCAGTTAAGGCCTCGGACGGACAGACCAACGGATAGAGAAGGTAGCTGAAATAGCGCACCCGACTATGCGCTAAAAAGAGGATGGGATTAGGTAGATCAATGCTACTGAAAGTAGCAACCGAAGCTGCATTGAAAATTGTTGATACTCTAGAGAAGTAGATCTTTTATTGAATGGAGACACTACAATGTTCTCTTTTCCAATGTGTGGCGCTTGTCACACCTGAATAAGTAGTGGTAGCTTGGAGGCCTCGTTGGAGGCACTTCAGGGATTAGAGTCCTAAACACTTAGCTGTGGAGGCCGAGACTCGGAACGATTCCATACGATTTTATAAACGTATAATACAAATATTACATTGACCTGGTCAGATCAAAAAATGTATGCGGTTCCTTAATATCAAGCACAAGACAAATGGTTTGTGGAAAGGCTACCAAACGAATTTAAACGCGTATGTTATTTGTGTGCAAAATCACGTACATATTGGCACAAAATTGAGAGCCAGGTTAGTAAATGAAAAGATCTGTTTAGTATACCACCGTGGTTATGACACAATAATGCTGAATCTTCTCCAAGGCTATGCACATTTTAACATATTCGGACGTCGAACTACAGGATAAAATGAATTTTCGAGCTGTAGATAAAATATATACTGAAGAAGTGCCCGACCTCTTTAAAAAACAAGTACTTACTCGAAAGTATATGGGAACATGCATATATTTAAAATTTATTCGGTATGTTTTGAAGGCATGTCTTTGTGAAAATAATAAAATTGAAATATGCCACCATCTCTCTGAAATCAATACCGCATCTATAATGTTTCATTTATAAGTTTGATTTAATTCATAGACACGCTTTTTCAAAATAATCAATTCGTGTTCATGGTTTAATTAATTGGAAATATCATAAGTTTCTTTTTATAATAAAGGTAGCTATTTTTTTTTAAACCAAATTCTTTCCCTTTTAAATTGAAAAGAGAGGTAGCTCAAATGAATTGACAGCATCAAGAGTCCCACCCTCAACATAAAACTGGCTGCATTTACTAACAAGCATGCACCTTTACTTGCAATGGCGCGTATTTTTTTAAATCGCTCTGAAGCCATATAGTTGGATTAAAAAACAACGAAAAAATACTTTTCTTCCAGCGAATGGACATTTTTATTGGGGTTGCCCGACAAATTTAGTTCTTGTTATAACCATAAAGATCACACCTACACGTTGTACCTTTAATTGAAAACGAGAGAACAGATCTAGAAATAGATTTTCCCGAGCACTTCAATAATCCACCAAATTATCCCCATTCACATCTTCTAAGAAGTACCCAACAATTTTTCTTCTGTCTGATGCTTTTCAATGAAATTTGGAATTAATATAGCGATCTAAATTGAGATCAGATTTTCCATGGTCATCCGGGCGTTAGATAACGAGAGCAAATCCACGCGCGATCTCCCGCAGGGTTGATTACTTCTCTAGGTGGTTGACGACTTATTCAAATCTCGTTAGACATCAACTAATATACCGACGCCCATCACTCGTGTATTTGACAAATAGCTGTATAATAATCTCACCTTTGTCCATTTTCCAATTCTAAACTTAGACCAGGTCGGAATAATAATACTTTTTCTAGGTTACTAATTGGGTAATGATTACTTAATGACGTTATTGATAGGTCGTGTAGACAAAAGAAAGATTAACAGACACTTACAAGTCCTACAAACAGGTTATTGATCTTTCAAACAAGGGTTACTAATTGCGACTTTTATTATACCTAAATATTCATACTTCTAATATTCAGTAGTTTCAATATAGGTAGTGGATGCACAAGTATTAAACTCATAGGTTTTTAGTTTTTATTTTATTAGTCATTATTTTCCCACTGGCGTGTATACCTACCTATTAGTAACATCAGCATTCCGGCAATAGATGTACAAATATCATATGAAATTAACCATAACCGAGACCATAACTATAGGTATAGGTACCTACCGAGGTACCTACTTAGCTAAAATTATACAACCATGCAACAGATTTTGTGTGTCTTCCAATATTAAAACTCACTTTTTACTAGAAACGTACAGCGCTCGAGACAGCGCTGCAACGCTATTAAGGGTAAAACGAGAGGTAAAGGGTGATTACCTTTAATGATGGTGATTTGGAAAAATGTGTAAGTACTTTTTGTCAAAATCGCGTCTCAGCATCAAAAATCGACTTGTATGAGAAACACCGCGCAATTCAAAAATTTATTTCAAAACACAGTTGCACCATTTATCGATGAATTCTACGGTGGATTTCTTTATATGATTGTTGTCAACTGATATAAGATACGGTATTACAAAATTGTAATTCATTATTATTAAATCGATTTTTATTACAAATCATAGGCCTACCAAGGATAAGGGTAGATTATCGTTTTCAAGAAATAAGTTCACGGAATTGTAATTAGGTAGTGTTTGTCTTTCAATTTAGAAAATAATTTTTTTGAGGAATTGCTGTTAATGATCGCGTTAATGATACGTGAGTAAGCCATTGTATCTCATAACACGTTCCCAAAATAATACTTTGCATATTAATGAATGAATACGCATTAATACGCAAATCGGACACCGAGATCCAAAATAATAGTTTGCATATTTTTGCCTATTAATTGTTGAGTACACATTAATACGCAAATTTGGCACTGATAAGTACTACTTATATTCATGCTCCCTTCAAAGGAATTTAACGGAAAAGGCTCGACCAAAAATAGTTCATTTTCCGTATCTTTAAAGGTTTAGAGAATCACTCGACTCACTGTGAGTGGCATTTCTTATGTAATAGTATGTAATATTTTGCACCTCAAACATTCTTGCATATTCAAGTATCCATCTGTTTAGATTTCATAAAGTGTCATTTGCAAGTAAAACGGCATGCAATAAAAACTATGCGACGTTGCCTATTAAGAAAGTCCTCGGAAAACTCACTAGGTTCTAAGGAGGGCATTAGGTAAATAGAGAGCTAAAATAATGTAAAAAAACATATTTCCATAGTAATAGCGAAAGAGCATGAGGAGTGGAGTTTACGCAATCACTTCTCCTACCTACTACCCTTGTGATTGCAATATTGTGATACTGTGACACTTCACCAAGGAACTGCATCACGCACTTTCATCTAAGATTTCCCTAAGGAGTCTTAAGATTGTCATTTTTATAAATGTATTAATTGCTAATAATTTTAGATTGGAAGTCATTTTTTATCCTGTCGGTCACTCCCACATAGGATCTTACTTTGGTGTGTGCTGCTTCATGCATGTCTGTTACATTCTTAGGGATGCTCTCTCGGATACTCTAATGGGCAGAACGAGGAGCAGAAGGAAGTAATTACAGGTGCTTTAGGAAGCCTTTTCTCGAAAGAGATAAATGATAAAAATTATTTTCAATGAAGGGGATTCAAAACTATTAATTTCTTAAAATTTTTGACAATGATGTGCAGTAGTAGAATTAATATCAACCGACATGTCAACTAACAAATGCATGTGAGCTGGTAAGTAACTGAAAATGAATACACTTATGTAGTTAAAGATTGATTGCAATATTATTACCTCGATTATTACATTATGAGAGGGATTTAGTATTAACACAATAAATTTAAAAAGCCACTACCTGCACACAGTTTACATTTGATTATGAAAGTATAAAATGGAGCAATTAATTTAAAATTTGCAATTTAATAAGTAATTAATATAAAGGTTATAATGTAAGTTGACACTCCTAATTTCATACAAGAAATTCTGCCAAATAGGTACCTAGGCGGAGCAATAAACTTTACAGTACCGCAATAAATAAATAAACCGGTGATGGGGTGCTAAGTTAACGAACATTTCAAATGTTCTTCCATCAAAAATGAATTGAGCTCGTAAATAAAGGATGCACTTATATTTTTCCCGATACAGCAGTGAATTGAGGTTGAATTGAATGGACTGATTTATTACATGAATTAAATTTTCTACGCAATCTCGGTTTTAATTATTATCGAGATTATCACATTCTTAAGTGTTAATTGACTACGCTAATTATGTGGTAGTAGGTACTTGAAAGAAAATATATTTGCATTGTAAATGGCGACTTCATATCCAAGATCATGCGAACATGTTCAACTGTGCTGCCGAGTCAGATCTAGTGTGGATTTGAATTATTAAACATTGTTTTGGTTTTTTGAGGAAAATCTATTTGCAATATCGAGGAAAATCCAATAAATTTCACAAATACTTAGAAATAGAAATCATTACTGCTGTTGCAATTTTGCCCTTTAATTAAAACCAGAATTAAAAGTTTGTATCTATCTGTAAGTAGTTAAACATCTTATTATGGAATAACAATTATGGGTAATTTGAAATATGGGTTACCGTTTACTACAGAAAGAAGCAAATAATTACATTGCGCGCAATAAAAAATAACTACGGACGCAAGCTGCATCGATGCACCATCTATCGAGACAAATACGAAGCATTGGATTTAGAATTAACCAGATATCCGTTGGAGAGGTTTTGGCTCCGAGTGAAAGCTTGAACGAAAGGTCGATTGTGCAGTGCATGTTGTATACACAGCAATCATAGTACTCGAGCAATAAAACGCTCCCCACTCCCCCCACTACGCATAGATACCAAAACAATTCCTATGCAACGGACGTTGACCTGCTAGAGTGCATTTATTTATGACCTACATACTCTACTCATACATTTCCAAAGTGTTTGGGTTAATGAAACATTTTTCATTCCAAAGCAAGTAACCAATCAAAATATACCAACAAAAAAATCAAAAAATGTAAAATAAATCCACTAACCTTTAAAATTTGTAAACGTAATGTGGATAAATCAGTCTTCTTTACCAGTCTTCAGTTGAGTAACGTTTCATATTTAAGGGCACGACACTTATTCGTTGTTAATAAACAAAAAAACACATTTTAAAAAAATTAAACGGTCACTTCTTAAAGTCACAGTCCACCATTTTCAGCATTACTTACGTTCATAACACTACGTTGAAAGTAACAAGCGATTTCTTACATTATTATTCCATAATTCTTCTAAAACTATGCGCGTCTTCTTTTTGAGTTTTTTAATTCATTTCGCTTCTTTGTAAAGGGAAACACTTTCATTTTCATGAGGAAGCTTATGTTTTTCACTTTGCACATTCTAACCTACTCTATAGTGCGATCTGACGTCGAAACGTAAAAGCCGGCCATTGTTGGCGCCTCAATCGCGCGGGAAAAGATCTCGCGTCGTTCTACACAGCGTTTGCGTCGGTTAATGATAGATTGCGCTTGATATCCATTTGTCGGAGAGGTGTTGAGTTTTTCGGAAAAAATTCTTGAGAAGCCGGCCATTAGATGATGGAGGTCATTTTAGATTTTAATTGAAACTATGCGAACAAAAAGTGCAAGTATCTAAAATGAATCTATGAAGCATATGGCTGGCGGGCCGAATTGAAGGTTTCCTCATAATAGGTTTTGATTAACTCAATTATTGTTAATTAAACACTTTATCGGGAGAACTTTGTTCGTTACCTGCAAGTGTAATTTGGACTGGAACAAAGAAATTTGCCATGACGGAACATTGCACTCTCGAAAGAACGAAATAAATAAACACCAGCAGCTGCTTGCCAAATTATTGATTCTTCGTTTGAACAATAAGACTTGCAGAAATGGAACAAATGTTTCCTGAAATTCGGTTTCCGTTAATCCATACCTCATTTACTGATGATTTGTCCCATGAACCATGATTATTCCTGTTTTTGCCCGTTAATTCACTTGAAAAAGTATAATTTTTAAGATGCCGTTTAAAATGATACTGGACACGATATTGTTTACGGAGTATTCGAAGTTTCCTACTTGAAAGGTAAACCTAAAAGAAATCCTTTTAGTTTTACCATTCCCAGTGTAAAAATCAACTTAGAAATGAAATTTACGAAAACTGGAATGAGAGCATCGCAATGGAAACCTCATTGTTTGTAAGATAAAAATGCGAAATTAGTATAGTGTACCTATAATCTAAAAATGTAGAGCATGAATCTTAATAAAGAAACACCGGGTCTTAAATGGATAATTGACATACAGTCAGCGGTGTTCCAGTAGCCCTGTAATTGACGATACCTGTTGCTGTTTCTGTTGAAAAAATGAAAGTAGGTGTGTGTCCTGAAAGCAGCAAAAACGTTAAATAATCTCCAATCAAATCACAATATCAAACACATTGGATTACTGACCTGCCTCGTCTGAAGAATCCAACAATAAGCAGTGTTGCACCCGATTCCATAATAAATTCCACCTAATCCAATACGAACAATTGTAAATGAATCGAGTAATGTACCTATAATGCCGCAAGTTTATACGTTGAAACCAACGACATCATAAATAAGCGAAAACTTGGTGCCCAACGGAAAATCCTGCATTCTAACGTCAATCTGCAAACATATTCAATCAGTGAAGATCTGGATCATATCACCATCCTCAAAATAATGCGAAACGATTTAAAACTGTCAGTAATTTTACTCATACTTGCCCGAAATTAAAGAAGTTCAATGGAAAAAGAAATGACTTAATAAAACCGTTCAAAATGTAAGTGATGATTTGAGAAATCTATGCTAAAGCTTTCTCTAACCACGACTTACCTTTTGAATGGCCGAGAACTTATATGTTAAAAAATCTGAACTAGAAATGCCATTGAATACACGCTGACATATGATTTTGCTCTTCATAGGGAGGTATTATTTTCTGGGGATCGTTCAGCTTAACGAAGAGATGTTTGACTCAAAAAAGGATAGTTCGATATAGCAGTATTTATTTATTTATTGCCCTACAGGCTTATCGCCCAATTACAGGACAAAGTAACAATAGTATACTACTATAGTGTACAGTTAATCTATACTTAAACAAAAAAAGAAAAAAGTTCCTAACTAATAAAATAGATCCCACGAACTAACATACATAAAGAAAATAACAAAACAGAAGGGCATAATGTTATGTTAATTCAATAATAAATTTAAGGTTATCAGCGTGTATGTCACACATCTGGCAAATAGTGTTAAAGTTTCTGCTTGTGATCGTAATTGGAGAACGTGATAAATAGGAAGTTCCTGGTTTAGATGTATAAAAAGTTAGCTGATTTCTGGTGTTATGCATAGGTACATGAAAGTTATGCTGTGCCAATATTTGCGGACAATCAATTTTGTTGTGTAATACGATAAATAAAAATGAGAGTCTCGACCGGATTCTTCTTTTTTCAAGTGACTGACAATTAAAAGGCTTAAAAGATTTGCATGATTGGTGGCTCTAGCAGAATAGACTCCATCACTTTTAAATGCAGTAAATGTAGTAGCGCATATGAACCTTGTATAAATTTTCAAGAAGTTTCTTACACTAACTTGCATCTATAGTTATATACCTACATTTTGAAAGCATCACCACGCATTTTCACTAGTAGACATAATTTATTACGTAACTGAAATTTACATTCATATAACACCCGAAATAAAGATCATTTTGTAAATTCAACGATAACGCCTAAGCTATTTAAATTTTCCGCTGCCTCAATGGGAATTAATTTATCAAAATATATACCCATAGTTTAACGGATCAGAAATCGTTTTAGGACAGATATAAAATCAATTCTTTTAGATCAAGCACCATATTCTAGGTATAGATTCTCTTTAACATGTAATATAACTTTAATTTAAATTATATGGCTCCCATTTTTCCATGGCTACTTGTACTCGGAGTTGGAAAATTCCTTACAAAATTACCGAGCTCGAGCTATATGTCTAAATTTGTATATTTTTTAATGCAACGGCTCGCCAGTAACACAGAGTTAACCTGTGCTAATAAGAAACCAAAGCTTATGATTCAATTGTATGTTAAACAAATTTTTGAATTAAAGCGGTCAATAAGGGTAATAATAAGGGTCTAACGAATTTAGAATCTAACACTAAAGAATATCAAGTAACCAAAGAAATGGAGGATTTTGAAAAATCTAATAACGAACGGGATCGTCCAATCCGAAAAAGTTCAGGGAGAAAAGAAGGGTTAGATTATTTGGAAATACGGCATATGATAACTCAACTCGAGACCGGACAAATTTATCTGAAGAGAGTTGTAGGTATATGTAAGAAATTAGGAAATACCCCATCTCTTTTCTGTATTTTTTTACTTAGCGAGGACGCGACCAAGGGTTACGCGAAATCTCTAAAATCGGGACATTTTACAAACGCGTAAATTTATTACAAGAATTCGGACATCGTAAATGCAAGGTAAATTATACGAAAAAATCTCCGTGACTAATCTGAAATTATCATAATTATATAGTGCAATTCTTGGATTCACGAACTGTGAGGAAATTCCTTGTGTTTTTAAAACGACCAAAATATGCATACTGAGTATAAACGAAAACACGTTAAAGGTTACGATTGTTGTCGTTATTTAAGGCCAATGTCATATATACATTAATGTTTCATGAAAAACTTTCGCAATAAACAACGCTCTGAAAAACCTACTCGAAATCCCTTCAATGAATGCAAAAGATCAATAAGTTGCTTTTGCCTTTTGTATACCTAGAATACAGGAAATCTTTAAGTATCGAGATTCACCTTGTGTTTGTTAGATAATCAAATTAAGGTGAGTAATTAAATTTTATTAATGAAAATAATAACCTTTTTACCGGTTTTTTTCGGTTTTCCAGTACACTGTTTTGATGAGCACTTTCGCTTCGGAATTATACCGGCCTAAGCAGGCGATGGAAGTGAATTTTTTTACAAAACCGCAGCCGCAAAAATGATTTACCATACTTCAAAGCAATTAATTTACCTACTAGTCGTTTGATTATCCGGATTATGATAATCTAAATCAATATATCTTCGAAATCTTTATTCATTTATGAAACAATCCTCTTTTATGAAATGGAAGTGGACCAGATCAATTATACTTCGCGTTCACTAATTTTCCTGAATTTTGAAACCATTTTCAAAAGCACGGGAGGTCGAAGTTCACTATTTTAAAAAATAGTAACCTCACATTACGAGCATGTTTCGATCAAGCCGAAGGCTATAAGCATACTTTAAATCGGTCTAGCGACACCCCCGCTACCGGCGTCAAAATTTCTCTTGAGCATAAAAAAATTTTGTAAGATTTTAGTACAACATTAATTTCTGGTTTCAATAAATGCCCAAATATTGATACGTTACCAAGATTCAAGAAGGAAAATCCACTCTTTAACTGGAACGAGAATGAGCCTTTCTGGTCTCCCCTTTTTTTGATTCTTTAAAAGATACGCAGCTTCTTCCCTTTTCCATTTTTATCTGGAATAAGGTGCCACACGCTTGGCTACGCAGATTGAAGTCTTCAAACGTCGGATGTAAAATGAAACAGCGGAAGTGTGTAAAAGGCGCAACTAGAGAAATTACGACAGAAAAATTAGTAAAGCGATTGGTATATTGTTATATACTACTTGATCATGTGCATTTCAATGTCTTTTCGAAGATTTGCCTTGACTCCATTTGCAAATGTTGCAAAATCGTTAATTTATATAAACGCACCGATATTTAATTAGGTTGAGGTACAATGAGCAAACAATGCTTTTCCGAATTTAAGACAGAGAAAATAATGCAAATTAAATTATGCGACAAAAAGAAACTGTTGGTGAGTGAAGGTCTCAACTTAAGAAAAAAATGTAAAAAAAACTGAGGCATTTAACAATGTCCAAGGCTTTTTCCTAGTTACTCCTTTTAATCAGATGATTTTTCATCAATTATCGGTCATAATTGCGACCGTATCGGTGATTTGCAATGCGTTTTACTTAATTGTAACGTTAGGAATTTTTTATGCTCGCTGAATCTTTTCAAAAGGGTGGCATTGGTATGCATCCAACATAACCTTGAAATATATCTGCACAATATACTTGTTGCTTTTATATGGTTTAAGAGCATTTGCGGCCTTTCTATTCGACTTGTTTATGTATAATAAAATTTACATTCGTAGGATATAAAAGTATTCAGGATCAAAATAATTATGTAACGTAATTAGTCACAATTTATCGGTACTTGGCAATGATTGTTTCGTCCAATAATGAGCGGGGGAGTAGAACTTATAGATAGCAATCACGATTTGAGATCAATTTATTTGCGGTTGATTCAGTTTTTTACAGTCGACAATGATAAAACAATATAAATC